ATGCAGAGAGTCTTATCCTCTGAGAGGTCTCCAGAGGACCTGCTGCTTCTTAAGGGACCTCTTAGGTACAGGGGATGGACCATGTTTTTGTTTGTTTGTGTTTCTGAGACGGAGTTTCGCTCTGTCCCCCAGGCTAGAGTGCAGTGGCACAATCTCGGCTCATTGCAACCTCCGCCTCCCAGGTTCAAGCGATTCTCCTGCCTCAGCCTCCTGAGTAGCTGGGATTACAGGTGTGCACCACCACACCTGGTTAATTTTTGCATTTTTAGTAGAGACGGGGTTTCACCATGTTGGCCAGACTGGCCTCGAACTTCTGACCTCAGGAGATCCCCCTGCCTCAGATTCCCAAAGTGCTGGGATTGCAGGCGTGAGCCACTGTGCCCGGCCCCATGTTTTGCTTTGCTTGCTTATTTATTTATCCATTTTTTGAGACAGAGTCTCACTCTGTTGACCAGTCTGAGTGTAGTGGTGCTATTGCAGCTCACTCTACCCTCAATTTCATGGGCTCAAGCAATCCTCCTGCTTCAGCTTCTCCAGTAGCTGAGACTACAGGTGCATGCCACCATGCCTGGCTATTTTTTAATTTTTTTGTAGAGACAAGGTCTCTGTGTTGCCCAAGCAAAGCTTAAGACTCCATCTTAAAAAAAAAAAAAAAAAAAGAGCAGCATGGAATCTGGCAGATACCAGGGGAAGACATAAGAAGTAGAAGCCACAGGGTGGAGGAGCCCATAAACCAGGGGAGGCGCTGAAGCACAGGCAAGAATTTCAAATAAAGTAAAAGAAGCAGGCAAAGCAAGACCAGCAGAGGTGGAGACTCTGCGACATGAGGATGGCCAACATCTCAGTGCCGCTAGGGCAGCAGAGCCTGACTACTATACCAGCAATGAGGATGCAAGGTCCACCTCCCCTGCCTGTGGTCACAGCCACACGCCACATGCAGAAGTGATATTTCAAATTGAGTTAAATAAAATACACTCTTTTTTCTTTTTGAGACAGAGTCTTGCTCTGTCGCCCAGGCTGAAGTACCATGGCATGATTTCGACTCACCACAACCTCTGCCTCCTGGTTCCCTAAATTGCTGAAGCGATTCTCCTGCTTCAGCCTCCCGAATAGCTCACGTTACAGGCACAAGCTACCACGCCTGGCTAATTTTTTGTATTTTTAGTAGAATTGGGGTTTCACCTTGTCGGCCAGGCTGGTCTCAAACTTCTGACCTCAAGTGATCTGCCTGCGTTGGCTCCCCAAAGTGCTGGGATTACAGGTGTGAGCCACCACACCCGGCATAAAATACGTTCTTTAAATTCATATCATTTGCTTCTTTTTACTTCTTTTAATGTGGCTCCTGGAAAATCTAAACTTTGATTTTAGATGTATGGCTCCCATTGTAGCATTCCTGTTGTGCAGTGCTGCTCTCCCTTCCCATGAGACCACTTCAGCTGTGAGATGTTTTTCTGGACTAGTTACTTTATTTTTTTAATTTCTGTTTTTAAGATGGAGTCTCACTGTGTCACCCAGGCTGGAGTGCAGTGGCGTGCTCTTGGCTCACTGCAACCTCCGCCTCCCAGGTTGAAGTGATTCTCCTGCTTCAGCCTCCCGAGTAGCTGGGATTACAGGCACGTGCCACCACGCCAGGCTAATTTTTGTATTTTTAGTAGAGACAGGGTTTCACCATGTTGGCCAGGTTGGTCTTGAACTCCTGACTTCAGGTGATCCACCCGGCTCGGCCTCCCAAAGCGCTGGGATTACAGGGGTGAGCCACAGCACCTGGCCTGGACTAGTTACTTTGGAGAATCCTAATCATAATCCCTCAATCACTATAATCAGTTGGAACAATATCAAAATGTCCCTTGCATCCCCTGCCAAAAAAAAAAACGCGAAACTGCAATTCATACACATCAACCAGAAGGACCCTTACAATGGACAATGGCTCAGATCGCCACATAGTAGGAGTAATAATTAAACAAGACAACCCCTTAGGTTTCTAATTCCCTAACCTCTTACATTCAGCCCTGCCTCAGGTCGTGAAAGAGTTGTCAAGGCTTGCCCGATATGGTGGCTCATGAGGCTGAGGCAAGAGAATCGCTTGAGCCCAGGAGTTCAAGACCAGCGCTGGCAACACAGCAGGACCTCATCTCTACAAAAGTTAAAATTAGCCAGGCATGGGGGCACGGGCCTGTAGTCCCAGCCTCTTGGAAGGCTTGAGCCTGGGAGGTAAAGACCAGCACGGGCTGGGTGCTGTGGCTCACGCCTGTAATCCCGCCACTTTGGGAGGTTGAGGCCGTGAGCCATGATTGTGCCACTGCACTCCAGCCTGGATAACAGAGTGAGATGCAAAAAAAAAAAAAAGGAAAGAAAGAAAGAAAGAAAAATTCCAAAAATGAAAGCGTTGATAGGGCTGGTCAGGGTCCTCAGGCAGTGATCCTCCACACGCATAACACAGAAATGATTTCAGGGGCTAACTTTTGTAAGTTTCTGAAAAACATTAATTGGTGCATTTGTTTTCTATTGCTTTGCCAATCTGTTACTGCTAACACGGAGAGTAAAAATCCAGCTCCAATAGATACATCGAGTTGAGAAGTCAGGGGGGGTCTCCCTTAAGTTTCTGTTCAGTCAGCTGATGAGGATCACAGACTTTGAGAGTGGCAAGGGACTCGGAGACCATCCAGTCCAATCCTTGAACTGTCCTGGGCAGCACTTCCCCAGCCCTGCTTCCCTTGGCTTTGCTCACCACTGAGGAAGCTGCCCATTCTATTCCCAGCTCCACGTGTTCTCATCTCCCACCCGCTGGCCCTAGATTCTACTTTCAAAACGACAGAGTTGGTCTAATTTCTCTTTCCTGAGCAAATCTTTTAATTAAGTGAAGACACCGATCCCTCTTCAAGTCTTTTTCAAATCAATTATCCTGTTTCTTTGTCTTGGTCTTCTCTTAAAAAAAAAAAGGGGCGGGGGGATGGGCCTTTTTACCTCCCTGACTGCTCTCTTGGGAACTGCTGTGTCAATGTCTCCCAGTACAGTAGGGTGGCCAGACCTGAAGAGTCTACATCCTTCTCCAAGCACGTGGGAGAGAAGTGGGGCTTTCACTTCCCTTACTCTGGACACTACAATTCTATTTAAACAGCTCTGTGCTTTCCCCATGACTTTCCTGAGCCGTAATTTCTTTTGATCACTACACTTCCCCTTCTGGCTCTAAGAAAATCACAGATTTAAAGAGAATTCTAAGCCTGTGAAGCTTTGTATGCCAATATCTAAAACAAGCACCTGCAATGGTTTGCACTCCTGGCTGTACACGAGAATCACTCAGAAACTGTACAAATATCAATAGTTAGGTCTTGCCCCAAGGAGGGAAACAGGCCCTGGCTTAGGTATTTTTAGAAGCCCCAGATGATCACAATGTGCATCCGGGGTTGAACCAGCAATCCAAAGAAACTATGACTATGATCTTCATATGGATTCCAGTTACTTTTTCCTTTGAACTGCGAATATGAATTCTTATATTGAATTGAACTAGCAGAACTAAATTGGTTCACTGTAAACAACTTGAGATGATTCAAAAATCATTTGGAACTTGGACCAAAGGAGAGATGGAGTTGATTTAGCAACAATAGAGACCTAATTGAAAGTCAACCTAAAAAGAACATCAGGCTTAGGAGACCTGGTTTATAATTGGTGCATATGCTTACTTACTAGCTGTGGGATCTGAGCACATCATGTAATCACATTGAAGTTTCTTCATCTATAAAATGGAGGCACTGGTCTAGAAATCTTCTTTTTTTTTTTTTTTTTGAGACATAATCTCCCTCTGTCACCCAGGCTGGAGTGCAATGACGTGATCTCGGCTCACTGCAACCTCTACCTCCCGAGTTCAAGCGATTCTACTGCCTCAGCCTCCTGAGAAGCTGGGATTACAGGCACGCGCCACCACACCTGGCTAATTTTTGGTATTTTTAATAGAGATGGGGTTTCACCATGTTGGCCAGTCTGGTCTCGAACTCCTGACCTTGTGATCCACCTGCCTCGGCCTCCTAAAGTGCTGGGATTACTGGTGTGAGCCACCGCGCCCAGCCTAGAAATCTTTAAGGTGCATTAAGGTTTGTCTTTTTTTTTTTTAACTTCTCGAAAAAAAATAGAGACAATGTCTCACTATGTTGCCCAGGCTGGTCTCAAACTCCTGGCTTCAAGAGATCCTCCTGCCTCAGCCTTCCAAAGCACTGGGATTATAGGCATGAGCCACTATGCCTGGCCATGCTTTAAATTTTTGATTCAAGACCAGAAAAGAGCTTGCAAATAAAAAAATTCAAAGTTGTATCTTGCTCCCATTTCGAAAGGATGGGAGCTTCAACAGAGACAAAAATATTATTGAAGTGTTCAAATTGTCATTCAAATTTTATTTATCATACTTATTCCTGATTTTAAATGCATTACGCTTAAAGGAGAATAAGGTTTATTTATTTATGTATTTATTTATTTATTTAGAGACAGAGTCTCGATCTGTCACCCAGGCTGAAGTGCAGTAGCACAATCTTGGCTCACTGCAACCTCTGCCTCTTGGGTTCAAGCGCTTCTCCTGCCTCAGCCTCTCCAGTAGCTGGGATTACAGGCGTGCACCACCATGCCTGGCTAATTTTTTTAGTATTCTTAGTAGATACATGGTTTCACCATGTTGGTCAGGCTGCTCTCAAACTCTTGACCTCAAGTGATCCACCTGCCTCCGCCTCCCAAAGTGCTGGGATTCCAGGCTTGAGCCACCGTGCTCGGCCACGTTTTTATTTATATGGCCAGTGTTCCTTTAATCTTTCGTCCCGTGAACAGAGCAGTTCACAAGAGTGGGTGATATAACACATCTCCATTTTACCATTTTACAGATGAAAGGCTTTTTTTTAATTTGACATTTAGAACTGTAAAGAAGTTTGTTCCATTTCTTCCACTCTTTTCAAAGCAACTTGTTCAGTATTGACCATGCAGTGTTTTTCGTAAAAATAAAAGTTAAGAGACGTACGTACCGGGAATCCTGTTGAGTGTCACCCAGAAATGTTCGTCGGGGCTGTAGGTGTCCTTGGACCAGGAGAGTAAGTCAAGTGCGAGCTGGTCTTGGAGGACAAAGTTAGCAAAGTCCCTTGTGAGAGCTACATAGGCCGTGCCAAAGTAAATCACCATGTCATGAGGAGGAGGAGTTTTTAATTTTGTTGTTTTAATCACATAGGAATTTTTGTGGTCTAACAGTTCTTGGTGGACATATTTAGTCCGTCCAACAGCATGGTCAGGAGGCAGCACCCCTGGGGTGATATTTCTCCCTTTAAATCTCTTCAGATACTGAACTATTTCCCTGTTGGTTTTCAGGGGAAAGTCTTGCCCGCAGGTGTTGATGACATACTTCCAGGGAACCTCAGAGGCCACAAGGTCTTCCAGGCAGTTCAGGTCAGCCTGGAGCCTGGAGATCCCCCCATAGACGACTGACTCCTTCTTGGAAGCCAGAAAAGCATTTGGGAAGCAGCCAAGTAACTGTTTCACTGCACCTTTAAAGGCATCCGTCGCCTTCTGATCCAGGTGCACACAGTACACATTCTGGGGCATATAAATCGCCCTGAAGAGCCTCTCAAAAGTGCCAAAGTCTTTGTGGATTGTCACTGTGTAAGCTAAAGGGAACCCAGCCTCTTCTTCGGAGAGTGTTTCTGTTACATAGTGGCTTCGAACCATGTACTCATAGCAGGTAGCTTCATCAAGGGTAGTTTTCAATGCATTTTCTGTTGGGTAAAAAACTTTCCCCTCAAAAATCTGATGACAGGCTTCTGCTAACAGTGAAGCATTGGAGAGCGCTGCCCTCAGAAAACGTTTATTCTCCCGTAACTCAGTATTGTAAACAAATACAAAAATCAGGGCAGAAATAAGAGACCCGCTAAAAAGACAGTGCTTCCAAGAGCCCATCATTCACAACCAGGAAATGAGTAAAAGATCTCTCTCTTAAGATAGGATCAGAGTGTAGATATATTTAACTTACATTTTCTCCATGTTCCGAAATCATCCTCTTGATGGCTGAAGCTCTGGTCTGGCTGTTCCCCGTCCCTTCAGTTCACAGTTCTAGTCCTTTTTCTTTCTTCTTCCCCTCTTCATTTACCACTAGGCTGCATTTTCACTTTTCTTTGACACATTTCTGAAGTGGCTCCTTTGCATTTGGCTTGCCTGTTCTCCCGCTAACCTGCAACCTGTGTCTACACAAAAACAAATGTCCTCAGAGAGGTTCTGATTCCGGGTAGTCCACCTGTTCCCACCGTGAAATCGCAAGTGGATGAGGTGACCATTCTGCAAGTCATCGGCTCTAAGACCTTAACCTCAGCCTCTTCTCCCAGCCAGAGTCTAGTAACTGTGTCCCCTCCCCTGCTTCCTGTTAATCATTGTGTTCAACAGCCTGAGTTTGTTTGCTTAAACTGCGCTGCCAAGTTAAGAGCTTCAGTTTAAAGCATGTGAATACCGCCTGGAGTTATATTCTGTCAATAAATATGTAGTGCTTTAAAAAAATTCCTTAACCCTATCTTTTTCCACAGCCACACTTCGTTCTCCCCATTGGCTGGGTATGCTATACGGCATGGTATATGACTGGCTATGGGGCTAAATTCTTTCCAGGGCTCAATTTTGTCTGCTGCTGGGTAAAGTCCTTTAAAAGGCACATTAATTAGCAAGCTTACCTTACCACTTAACTTACTGCACAAAGTGACTGTGGCACTCTGATGAATAAAGGCTAACTTCTTTTTTAAAACAACAAAATAACTAACAGCCCATCAGCACCCAAAATTGCATAGAGGCTAACATCAGTGAATTTCAAGTTTATTTTGCCCTGGTCCACATAGGATGCAGACAGAGAACCCTGATGCTTAGAGGAAGGAGAGAAGAGCATCTCAGTTTTGAATGTTCCTGAACTTTAGGAGAGAGCCTCTTACGTCCAGATTTACAAATGCTTTAAAGGAGGTGTAAAAAATGAGAATAATTTTACCACCATAGATCAATTGTGAGAATAAAATGACATAACATATACAGAGTCCATCACTGTGTCCAGGAACAGATTGGGGTGGTAAATAAGCGCAAAATTGTACCAGAGTAAACAAGAAGCCCGTTCACACACACACGCACACACACATGTGCATACACACACACACATGCTCCTACCCGTTCACACACACACGCACACACACATGTGCATACACACACACACGCATACACACCTACCCCTCACCCCACATTCATACTTCTAGTAAATGACACAATTACCACCTCTCCTTTGAAATCTTCTTACTCTTCCCTTACTCCCTCCTCTGTGAGCCCATGCCAATCAGATTATACATCTAAAACAGCAGCGAGGCAGGGCGCGGTGGCTCAAGCCTGTAATCCCAGCACTTTGGGAGGCCGAGACGGGCGGATCACGAGGTCAGCAGATTGAGACCATCCTGCCTAACAAGGTGAAACCCCGTCTCTACTAAAAAATACAAAAAACTAGCCGGGCGAGGTGGCGGGCGCCTGTAGTCCCAGCTACTCGGGAGGCTGAGGCAGGAGAATGGCGTAAACCCGGGAGGCGGAGCTTGCAGTGAGCTGAGATCCGGCCACTGCACTCCAGCCTGGGCGACAGAGCGAGACTCTGTCTCAAAAAATAAATAAATAAATAAATAAAACAGCAGCGATGAGTTTTGTGTGATGTGGTAGTCAGCTGCACCCGGTGTGAAAGCATGTTCCATTTGCGCCGAGCTCACGTATTCCTCATGTTTCTAGCTCCTAGCATTGTCTGTGTGTAGTAGACAATCAACTTTTAATTTAATTTTATTTTATTTTATTTATTTATTTTTTGAAACAGAGCTTCACTCTCATTGCCCAGGCTGGAGCACAATGGCGCGATCTTGGTTCACTGCAACCTCCGCCTCCCAGGTTCAAGCGATTCTCCTGCCTCAGCCTCCCAGGTAGCTGGGATTACAGACACCTGCCACCATGCCCGGCTAATTTTTGTATTTTTAGTAGAGACAGGGTTTTACCATTTTTGGGCAGGCTGGTCTCAAACTCCTGACCTCAGGTGATCCACCCACCTCAGCCTCCCAAAGTGCTGGGATTACAGGCGTGAGCCACCTGCCCAGCCATCAATCAACTATTTATTGATTGAATGCTCAAGTTTTCATGTCCCTGTTTCCCTGATCACATTAGTGAGAAATTCCAGGTAATACTGATTCATCGGAGACATATATTTGTATCTAAGAATGTGGTGCAGTCAACATACCTAATTTTTCTAATATATCTTCTGATTTTTATTAAATTTAATTAATTAATTAATTTACTCTTTCAAAGAGGTGGGGGTCTTACTGTGTTGCCCAGGCTGGTCTTGAATTCCTCAAGCTATCCTCCTACCTCAGCCTCCCAAAGCTTTAGGATGACAGCTGTGAGTCACTGCACCCGGCTCATTTTCTTAATCACAAAGACAACATGATATTGTAGATAGTTTCTAAACACAGTGTTTCCACGTCCTGTACTTTCATTTACCTCTTGCCTACAGGACATACACATTTTTATTTTATCAAGAACACAGGAGAGGCTGGGTGGAGTGGCTCATGCCTGTAATCTCAGCACTTTTGGGAGGCCAAGGCAGGAGGAGCTCTTGAGGCCAGGAGTTTGAGACCAGCCTAAGCAACATGGCCAGGCCCCATCTCTAATTAAAAAAAGAATGCAGGAAGATGCAAGCTTAAATCCTGCATTTTGCACGTACTATTATACCATAACATTTTCCATAATGCTTCCTGGTGTGCCTCGGGTATTATCTTCACAATCACTACTTTAGAATCTGGAGTTATTCTTGTTGGTTTTTCCGCTATCCCAGCTAACAGCGAACACATTGAGACGGCGGCTAACCCCATTTCACAGCGTCAGGAACACAGGAAATGATGACAAGAAAGGACACAGGGAAAATTCTCTAGAACTCAGTGAGTCAGTTTTCAGTTGCTTCTGGAATCAGATTCTACAGCGTGACTCAGGAACACCCAGTCGTGCCCATAGGGACCCCAAAATAGAATTTAATCAACCCAAATATCTATTTTCTTAACTATCTTTCATGCATCTATCCAGAATTCGTTTGAACAAATCACTTCTTCAATACAGTACGCATACAAAATCAATCTTTTCTGAAATGGCTAAAATTTCTCTAATTTTTAGTTGACTTTTAATGTCTCTTTAGACCCTGTCCATATCAAATGAAATTGACTATAGGAATGATTAAATGAAAATGTCAATGCTGAATGATGCTTATCTAAACTAGTCAAGTAAGTTTTACCATGTTTTCTCCCAATTTATCCCGACAATTACATCAGGTCTTTCTTTCTTTGACTCTCACCTCATTCTTGGCCTAGTTCTATCCCTCCAGAGGTTGCAGGCATAGAAGCATCTTGAATCATTTGCCTGCTCTTCGAATTTACAACTCACTTGATTTAGTTGCAAGGTAACGAACACTTGTATTTTGTGCTCTGCTGCAAGTACAAGCAAAGTTCATACATCTTTACTTGTACCTTACCCGAAATGCTATGAGGGTCCCTTGATTTTGAGCTCTGGAGCATTTATGATTATGTAAAATAGTATCTTTGACAATGCTAGACATTTAAAAAATAATTAATATGAATCTATTTCCTTTTTCATCAACCCAGTGCTAGCTGGTGCATTTCTTTTTGGCAGGCATATGGGACACGCTGGTCTTCCTGACCCTCCAGCTTTCCCGATGCCCTTGTACAATCTATCACTAATCACTCTCCTCAATTCTGGCCTCTAGATTCTTGCATTTGTGTGATACAATGGGAGGAGATGGTAATCAGGGAGTGACCAAAAAGAGTAGAGATTGTTCATCCCAGCTTGAACTTCAGATCAAAATTAATACTCCCAAATTCTAAGTTGGAGGCACTGATCAGGTGGGATAGAGAGTTCTGAACAAATGGGGAACCAGCAAAGACTTGTAGTGTGGTTGCTCAGTAACTGGCAGGGTGTATATTATGTTCAATCTCTAATTGCTTATTTCTCCATAACACATACTCTTATAAATTCTCACTCCAGGATATAAACTAATTTTTATTGCACTAAGATACTGCATTTAGAGTTTAATCTCAGTAACTGATTGTAGAAAGAGAAGCAGAAAAAAAGGGGTTCCTTTCCACAGACAAGAATCCCATCATCCTCACCTTAATTATTCATGGACCATATGACGCCCAAAGCGTTTTTCACATGTTCATTTTACCATGACATCATCTGTGTGCCCAAATTAGAAACCAGCCGGGGCCAGTGGAAACTTTCTCAATGTTTATGAAAGCCTGATGCGGTCTCAGAGGAAGAACAGCTTGGAATAAACTGTTTTTTTTTTTGTTTTTTTCTTCTTGAGACTGAGTCTTACTCTGTTGCTCAGGCTGGAGTGCAGTGGCGCGATCTCAGCTCACTGCAAGCTCCGCCTCCCGGGTTCACGCCATTCTCCTGCCTCAGTCTCCCGAGTAGCTGGGATTACAGGTGTGCGCCACCATGCCTGTCTAATTTTTGTATCATTTTGTCCTTTTTCAAAAAGACAACCTTTTCCTATCCTCCTGTCTGCCTCCTCTTTCTTATTTATGTGTTTTCTATTGACAAGTTCGGTACCCTGTTTTATCCTCATCACTATTTCTTTTTAAGCACAGGTTATAACCACAGGCTTCGAGCAACAGGGCTTAAATAGTATGGTTAAAAAGAGCCCTGGATTGAGTTCAAGACCAGCGTGACCAACATGGAGAAACCCCGTCTCTACTAAAAACACAAAATGAGCCCGTCTCTACTAAAAACACACAATGAGGTGGCTCATGCCTGTAATTCCAGCTACTCGGGAGGCTGAGGCAGGAGAATCGCTTGAACCTGGGAGGCGAAGGTTGAGATGAGCCAAGATCGTGCCATTGCACTCCAGCCCAGGCAACAAGAGCGAAACTCCGTTCCCAAAAAAAAGCCCTGGATTATGTGTCAGAAAGTCTCCGTGGACCAAGGCCACTCTTGACAGGCTTGGAACCCTTGAATGAGTCATTTTATTTATAATCACAGCTTCCTCTTGGAGTGAATTTGAGAAAACAACACCCATTGGTTGAAAAACAAACCGAGATCCAGCGTGGATCTCGCAGGCTGGAAGGGACTCTGCAGTTACTTAGAGCCTCCAACTCCCAACTGTGGCTTCCTTCCTAGCTGGATCACCACGCCTCTTAGTCTTAGTTTGCGTCGGTCTTCCTTCCTTCCTTCCTTCCTTCCTCCTTCCTTCCCTTCCTTCTCTTCCTTCTTCCTCCCTCCCTTCCACCGCTCCTCCCTCCCTCCTTCCTTTTCTTTTGTCTTTTTCTTTTTCGCCTGTTTTCTTTTCTTTTCTTTTCTTTTTTCTCTTTTAAGACAGTAGTCTCGCCACTTTCGCCCAGGGCTGGATGGAGGTGCGGTGGCCGCCATCTCGGCCTCGACGTGCAAGCTCCGGGCCCCCGGGTTCACGCCGATTCTCCTGGCCTCAGCACCTCGAGTAGCTGGGACTACAGCCGCCGCCGCCACCACGCCCGGCTAATGTTTTTGTATTTTTAGTAGAGACAGTGTTTCACCATGTTAGCCAGGACAGTCTCAATCTCCCGACCTCGTGATCTGCCCGCCTCGGCCTCCCAAAGTGCTGGGATGACAGGCCTGAGCCAACGCGCCCAGCCTTGGTTTTCCAAGTCTAAAGTCAAGGCAACAGCAATCTCCAGGTCTTGCTGGGAGGATTCTGGAGGTAGGGCACCTAACGTCCTCAGCTCGGGGCTTGTAGAGAAGTCAGAGCTAATTCCAGACCTGGATGGAAAGCTGCGGGGAAGAAGAGGCTACCAGGGGGAAATGAAGTGGGTTGTGATCGTTTAACAAAAAATAGCTGGGAAAAAATGTAATAGGAAAATATAAGAGAAAGCTGGTCCTTTTTTTTTTTCTTTTGAGACGGATTTCGCTCTTGTTTCCCAGTGGAGTGTAATGATACCGTCTAGGCTCACTGAAGCCTCCGGCTCCTGGGCTTAAGCAATTCTCCTGCCTCAGCCTCCTGAGCAGCTGGGATTACAGGCATGTGCCACCACACCTGGCTAATTTTTGTATTTTCTCTTTAGTAGAGATGGGGGTTTCACCATGCTGGTAGGCTGGTCTCGAACTCCTGATCTCAGGTAATCCACCTGCCTCGGCCTCCCAAGGTGCTGGGATTACAGTCATGAGCTACACCGTGCCTGGCCGAAAGCTAGTCTTTTCAATCCAGTCAATTAAATAACTTTGAGGCAATGCAAGGCTGAGGACAGTTAAATAGCAGCTCAGTTACTAGGCAGAGTCCAGGCCTTAAAGGTACTTTCCACCTGCATTTGCACACGAAAAGAT